CACATATTACTTTACAACAAGGTTTTAAGTGTGAAATTTGTGAAATGATTTATAAAACAAAAAGAGGTCTTACGTATTACCAAAGAATTGTTCAAAAGTATAATATTCACCGTAAGGGGTTATATACGTTACCTTTGCAAGCAGTCAAGCAATTTAAAGCAGATCTCGTTCATATTATAGGAAGCAAACTCAAAGAGCATTATAGTTGGTCAGGCAAACAAACTATCACATTTCCGTGTTTAGAAAGCTTATTTTTTGGTGCTTTTAAGGGACATATTCATTATTATAATCGTAGAAATCATAGCTATAAGTGTTTTTTTCACGGACCAGATGCATATTCACAATTAGCTAGTTTATTTAAAAATCAGAATTGGAAATGCAAATTCTTTAGCAATGATCAACAGACATTTATTTTGTTGTTCAACGCACAGGTTCAAAAAGCCAACTATAAAAAAAAATCCGAATTACCAAGATTAATGGTCGAATAGAAAACAAAGAGCAAAAGAGATGCAAAGGGTAATCAGACTTCAGCAGGTTATTTACATTTGAGTTTTTATACTCAACAAATTTAGAGTTATAGGGCCTAGGTATTTTTTTTCTTTTTATTTTAATACATATAAATTTATTACTAAAATTTTAACACCTTACGCCCATCATTATAAAAAGAATGTATAATGTATGAAGATTCAAATAAAGTAATAGATATACGTTCAAACAATTATAATAATCTGAATTTTAATTTTATTCATCTGTATTTAATTTTAAGTGAATTGTTACTATAAGACCATATAGCTGGTAGCGATAGTTTAATCGTTTCACTTTATTAATTTTAAATTCTGCACTTAATAATCGATACTTCAACCCAATAGAAAACTTGAAGCTATTCATCAGGCTAGGATACGCGAGTTACATACTGCTGCTGCTGCTGTAAAAACTTAATAATTAAGACAACTTATACGATCAAAAAAAAGCATAAAATTCTAACTCTAATCATCCTGCATAACAGGGAGGTGGATCAAAGTCTTCAGAAGA